TTTGTAAATTATAAACACAATATAAGCATTGCTACAGCATCAAAGAATAATAATCGCATACTAATAGAGTAAGGAATCCCCTTAACTCATGGAGAAATTAGTTTCCTGCTATTGGTATATGAAAAATAAAATAATAGGTGCCGGCAAGGTTATGCCACACTGAGACCTAACAGAGGTGGGGAATGTGAGACCAGACTGGAATACTGGCAAACCCTTGTCTCAAAAGGATGAGGAGGGAAAAAAAGAGAGTAAAGGGAGTAAGAACCGAAAGCAAAAGAAAAGGGGGGGAGGTTGGAGAAAAAGAACAGCCAAAAGAGAAAAGATCAAAAAGGAAAAGGAGAACTAAAAACTTGTATACTTGGAGTGAAGTGGCAAAGTGCCACAAATGACAGTCTTACACTGCCTACTTGAGTTAAAATACTTACCGGGGCTGGCAGCATGGCTCCAGAGGTAGAGTACCTGCCTAGTAAGTATGAGGCCCTAAGTTCAAACCCCAGAACTGAAAAAAAAAGAAAACTTACCAATAAGAAGATTTTTTAGTCTTCTATAGTCTTCTGTTACATCAAAATCATCACCAGCAAATATTAACAAGGGTTTTGTTCCCTCAGGACATTTACTGTTCTATGAAATGAAAAAACACTGTAATCATGTAATTATCACAGTCTGAACTCTTTTATGCTGACTTTAAGGTAGTCAATAATTAATACAATAATGTTTTCAAATTTTATTAACTAAGCTGGGCACCGGTAGCTCACACCTGTAAATCTAGCTACTTGGGAAGTTGAGATTGGGAAAATAGCAGTTCAAGGCCAGTTCATGAGACCCCCGTCTCCAAAACAACCAGAGCAAAATGGACTGGAGGTGTGGCTCAAATGGTAGAATGCCTACTTTTCAAACATGAAGCCCGGAGTCCAAACCTCAGTCCTTGTCCCACACACACACACAAAAATTTATTAACTGTACTAAAAGTATGTCTGCAAATACTAATTTTAGACTTAAAAATAAGTGGAATTTGGGGTCAGGGACATAATTCAAGAGGCAAAGTACTTGTCTAGCAAGCATAAAACCTGTGTTCAAACCCTAGTACTGCCCATAAATAAATAAGTAAATAAACAGAAGGAAAAAAATGAGGAGGATTCAAACTTACAGATTTTCATGCTAAAAAATAGTTGAGTAGGGCACAGTGACATGCACCTGTAGTCCCAGCTACTTGGAAGACTGAAACAGGAGGATCACTTGAACCCAAAATTTCAAGACTGGACAACACAGTGAGACCCTATCTCAAAATGATGATGGATAGACAGCCAGAAAGACAGATAAAATTCTTTATCCTGTTTATTTACATCACCATGTAACAGTATCAAAGAATCATATAAACTACATTTTAACACTATTCTTTATAGAGAATAAAATTAAGAGTTATACTTGCAAAAAAAAAAAAAAAAGTGCCAACTAACCAGCCAACCAAAAATTACTTCCTAGCAATCAACATCCCACTTACAAAATACATTCAGTTATAATTTCTTCGAATTATTTCTACTACTGCTACATTAAAAAAGAAACTGAGCACCACTATTACATTCCCCTTCTTACAGTAAAATAAAATTGTATTTCTATGCTAGAGCATGCCAACTTAAAAACATGAAGTTCTTTATCTACACAATTCTATCAGGGTCATTCTCATTCTCTCTCTAGAGATGACCCACTTTTAGTGCATTAAAAGTGTATTCCTGCTTTTACGTCGGGACCTTGGAGCTCAGCTGTGTTGGCAGGAACAATGGCGCTGTCTTTCTGTGATGAATCACAGCAGTTACGCGAGATGCCACAATGCGTGAGAAAACCTCAAAACATCTGAGATATTTAATGGGAAATAACTTGATTAAAACCTGACAGTCTTAACAGCTTCCTGGACGTTGATGAGTAATGAAGTTATAGGTGTCACTGAGCCACTTAATTCTGGATGAGAATTGTTGTCCTAAGAGGCCAGTTAGCTGTAAAATTCCTAGGATGGAGCAACTTCTGGCCAGTTTTCTGTGGCATGAAAAGTTGGTGATAAGATAAACCACCAAGACAAAGAAAACATGATTAATTTTTTTTTAATTGAAAAGTGCAGCATGAGAGCATGGGATATTTTTAATGAAAAGTTCATGGACTTCAGCTTATAAGACCTTGTCAAATTGTTCTGAATAAAGGTTCAGTATGACTTGTAATTAAAACTGAAAGTTTATACTGAAAAAAATAAAAAAGAAAGAATAGTCCTTTTCAAATAAACTTTACTATCACTTTCATTAAAAAAAATTCTATCAGTATTCTCTACCACAAGATATCACTACTGGCCAAGAGCAACAGTACAAAATGCTTTCTAGTTTTATGATCACTATCTTACCTTAATATCTTTCAGAGACACAAACTTCTCAATACCTAATTCAATCATATCCAGCACATGGTAGTCATACATACGACCTAAAAGGAAAATGAATTCTTAGCATGTATTTTCCAAAACAGCTGCTTTATATGTACCCACTTACTTATTCAAAATGCCCTAATATCTGCCTCTTTTCTTTCTCACTAGACTCCCCTAGTATGCTCCCTCTTTCTTAATTTTCATTTCTACTTAAATTGAATTGTTAGTATATCAGCCATAGAAAAGATTCTAGAGAAAATTTACCACAACCCCTTTATTTTATAGAAAAAATAAATGAGAGAGGCAAGCATGGTAGTACAAGTCTGTAATGCCAGCAGAAATGGAGGAAGAAGAAATCACAAGTTCAAAGTCAGTCTGGACTACATAGCAAGACCCTTTGGGAGGGGTGAGAATAAATGGGGGCAGTCAGATATGCTAGTGCATATCTGTGATCCCAGCTACTAGGGTGGTGGAGATAGGAGGATCATGAGTTTGAAGCCAGCCTGGGCAATAGCAGCAGCAAGTCTCTATCTTCAAAACAAAACAAAAATAAAGGGCTGGAAGCACAGCTCAAACAGTAGAACGCTTGCCTAGCATGCACAAGGCCCTGGAATCAATCCCAGCATCTAAAAAAAAGCAGGGGGAGGGGGCATGCGGGAAGTGTAGCTCAGTGGTAGAGTATGTGCTTAGCATAAGTGAGGCCCTGGGATCAAACCTCAGCACCAAAACACAAAAAGCAAAAACCCAGAATAAACCAAGACCCACAGAAGGTAAAGGCTTGCCTAAGCCAGTAAGCATGCCAGATCAAATCTTGATACACCCAGGCAAGAGTTCTCTAAATATATTTATTCAAATATTAGGGAGTAATTAATTTATGTGGATAAATGCACTTTGCTTTTTTCTTTTTTTCTAACTAATCCTGTTAGTACATATATTTTTCATATTAGAAAAATGTCTACAATTTGAGGTAGGTTTTTTCCTCCCAATTCCAGTTGACCCATGGTATGTGGGAACTCAGTGACACTCAATTTAAGTACAAGGTTACCTACAATTGAGTAAGGGAGGATGCTGAGTCATAAAAGGCCATACTACATCCTATTTAAACCAGAAGTATTTCCCACAGACAAAGAAGCAATGGTGGTCTAAGAATAACCAAGAAGCTCTTTCATATTCTTTCTAGTCTTACTTCCTTATCTTGGATGCCTATTATGTACATATGTATGTCTGAATTATCTATCTATCTATTTATTTATTTATTTGTTTATTTATGGTACTGGGGTTTGAACTCAGGGCCTTCAACTTGAGTCACTCCACCAGCCCTATTTCTGTGGTGGGTTTTTTTCAAAATAGAATCTCATGAAGTATTTGCCCAGGCTGGCTTCGAACCACCATCCTTCTGATCTCTGACTCCTGAGTAGCTAGGGTTACAGGCGTGAGCCACTGGCACCCAGCATTGGTTGGGTAATATTTATATGCCCCATTCTTTTATCTGGAAAGTGATATATACAGATTATCACTTTACTACTGGTCCTCCAGCCCTCAAAATAATTTTATTCAATATCATAAGGATAAAGAACAAAGAAACCTAATGGGATGCCACTGGCTCATGCCTACAATCCTAGTTACTTTGGAAGGTTAAAATCGGGAGGACTGCAATTTGAGGCAGCTTGGGCAAATAGTTCGTGAGACCTCAACTCCAAGATAATCAGACCAAAATGGAATTGGAGGTGTAGCTCAAGTAGCAGAGTGCCTGCTTTGCAAGTTCAAAGCCCTGAGTTCAAACCCCAGTCCCACAAAAAAAAAAACATTTTACTGGTTACTCTTGAATCCTAAACTTCACCAGTCAAAAAAAGCCTCAAAAAGGAGGATCACATTCTAGGCTGGCTTGGGCAAAAAGATCCAATCACAAAAATAACCTGAGAAGAAAGGGATAGGGGCATGATTCAAGTGGTAGAGATCCTGCCTAGCAAGCATGGAAGCCCAGAGTTCAAACACTAGTACCACCAAAAAAAAAAAAAAGTATGACACTTACCTATTACTAGATTATTTGGTCGCTTCTTGTTATGGGAGCCAAACATGAATAAAGAACAATCTGACTTCTTTGAAAAGAATTCCTATAAAATCAAACAAACAAAAACCCTTAAGAATCTTACCTCTGAACTTCAAAAAGCCTATCAGTTGTTTTCAGTGGAAGTTAATGGAAGTAGGTAGGAATATACTCAGGAAAAGCATAACTTCAGGTTTTCTTATTTGAGTTACTTAAGACTAAAAATACATGAAAACTACTATGTTAACATATAAAACAGTACCATTTATTTTCAGTAATGTCCTCACTTTGGAGTAGTACACTGTTTCATTAGCTGAACATGTTCCTTCATACTTACAGAATATCACCATTATCAACAGCACATTAGCATACATAAGAGCTATATGAATTTATCAATATAATATAATGGTTATAGGATGGATTCAGGAGTTTGCAATGCATATTGCTATTTTTCACTGCAAACAGTAACCACACAGGGATCTGGACTTGGAACTTCTATGCCACTCCAGCTGTAACTAGTTTCATGTTGTGTACCTCACTGGTACTGAGCGACAGATTCATGATGTTCCAATGTAAGAATTATCTTCTGCTTGTCTCTCAGTAGTACTGGTTTCCATTACAGTCATGATGGTTCCTTTTATTCTATGCCTATACTCTATTCAACTTACTGAGATCATCAATACTAGCATAAAAATTGATTCCATGTGTTATCCAAAACTCAAGTGGAAAGTCTCCTAAATGAATACAAAATTATGACTCTCTGAAATATGAACCCTTAATTTGGTTACCATTCAATCTAGTATCTCAGCAAAAAGCTACACCTGCCTATCCATGCCCAGTATGAAGGACAGTCAGAAAGTCCAAGAATCCAGACTCTACCATTTGCTATAGCATCTAGACACATTAACTTCTCTGAGAATTAATTTTATCATCAGAGACAATAACACCTCCTATAAAAACCTGCAAGGGAGCACGGAACCAGTGGCTCATGCTTGTAATCCTAGCTATTTGGGAGGCAGAGATCAGGAGTATTGCAGTTTGAGAACAGAGATCAAGGGCAAAAAGTGAGATCCTACCTCAAAAACACCCAACACAAAAAAGGGTTGATGGAGTGACTCAAGTGGTAGAGTGCCTGCCTAACAAACATGAGGTCCTGAGTTCAAACCCCAATATTTAAAAAAAAAAAAAAACAAAACTGCAAGGGCCATATGGAATGTCACATGTGAATGTTCTCCCTCTACAATGTCTGGTAAAAAGGAAGTATTCAAAAAATATTCACGATCTAGGGCTGGCAGAGTGGCTCAAGCTGCAGAGTGCCTGCCTGGTAAGCACAATGCCTTGAGTTCAAACCCTAGTACCCACCCCAAAAAAAATTCATAGTCTAAATCCATAGGAATGTGTTCTTAAAAATGTGTTTAAAACATTCTGTTATGACTAATATCTCAAAGTTTTCACAAAACACTCTTCATATATGAATGCTTACATATGCACATATGCATATAGATATACATACACATACACACACACACAAATCTCTGTTGTATGAATAGTCAAATTAGCAGTTTTTTTTTTTTCGGGGGGTGGGGGCAGGTTTGAACTTAGCTTCGTGCTTGCAAAGCAGGTACTCTAGAGCTTGAGCTGCACAGCAGTCCATTTCACTCTGGTTGGAAACAGGGTCTCATGACAACTATTTGCATAGGCTAGCTTTGAAAATCTCAGCCTCTCAAATAGTTAGGATTACAGGCATAAGCCACTGGCACCCAGCTTCAAATTACCTTTAAGAAGGCCAGAAAGTAGGGCTGGAGTTTGAGAGCAACCTAACTACATAGTAAGACCATGTGTCAAAAAAAAGAGCAAGAGTATTTACATTTTCTATGCTTTTTGGTGCTAGAGATTGAACCATGCTAACCACATCCTGTACATTGAGTTATATCCCCATATATGTTCTCTGTTTTGAGGCAGGGTCTTGGGTCTCTCCATGTAGCCCAGGCTGTCCTTGAACTCAGGATCCTTCTGTTTCAGCTTCCCAAGAGCTGGGATTTCAGATGTGCACCACCACACCCAGCTATGTTGTTAGGTTTTTTTATTCTTTTTAATAAATCTTTTTTTTCTTTTCTTTATAGTACACAGGGATTGAACTCACTCCACTTGAGCCATCTCCTCTCCCCCAGTCCTTTTGCTTTTAAGCTTGTTTTTCAGATAGGGTCTTGCATTAATTTTGCCCAGGCTTGCCTCAAACAACTATCCTCCTACCACTACCTCCCAAGTGGTTGAGACCACAGGTAAGTACCAACAGACCTGGCTTTTTTTTTTTTGCTAACCTTTGCCTGGGCTGGCCTTGAACTTGGATCCTCCCATCTCCACCTTCCAAGTAACCATGATTACAGGAGTGTGCCACCATACTTGACCCTGATTTTTACTTTTTCTTCTTAGTAGTACTGAGATTTGAACTCAGAGCCTCACACTTGCTAGGCTCACACTGCTTGAGCCACACCTCCAGTCCATTTTGCTCTGGTTATTTTGCCTAGGCTGACCTCCAAGTGTGATCCTTCTAATTACTGCCTCCCATATGCTAGGATTTCAGGCGTAAGTCACCATGTATAGAGGCATATATGCTGTCTTAAATCAGAAACTCTTGTACTTACCAGTGATGTCTGATCCTCAAATGGTCTTGTAATATTTTTCCTAAGAATATTAAAAATGATCACAATTTTACTAACTTTGATAAATAAATTCAATTAAGCAAATATACTGATTAAATAATAATTTTATATTCAAATGATAAAAAAACTGCAAAGATACTTGTTTCGATATTTCTTTAGGACCTATTATATGTCAGGCACTCTTCTAGGATCTAGGGAAGCTTCATAAAGAAGTTACTTTTATGGCCCTTATATTCTATAGGAAAAAAATAAATGAATTTATAAAGCATAATTATTGTGACAACAATAAAATAGAATACTGTGTTAGTGTAGAAAATGACTATTTGAGCTGAGACCTGACTAATGAGTAAGCCACAAACGAATTTTGAGGTTAATATTATTGTAAGATGGAACAGAATATGTAAAGAGAGGATGGGGGTTAGCTCAGTGGTAGAGTGCTTGCCTAGCATAAACAGGCGCCTTAGATTTCATGCCTAGCACTGTCAAAAAAAAGTACAAAGAGTCTGAGATAGACACAAACTTAAAGACTATTCAAGCAACAGAAAGAAGGCAAGCTGAGTGAGCAAAGAGGATAATGGTGTTTGCATGGGGGTGGGGAGGCTTAATGAGTTCAAAGATGTACACAGACAGGCCTAGATCATATAGGGCCTTATTGATCAAGATAAGGAATGCAGATTACATATTAGAAGAATGGGAAATACTGGAGTGTTTTGGGCAGGAAAGCGATGTGATCAGATTTAAATTTTCTTATGAAAGCATTGTTCTAGCTATAGTATGAGAATATAGTGTACCATAAAAAAGTAGAACAATTTAAGTTAACAAAATAATGACAGTATTGGACTATAACCCTGAAGAATGTAGAGTCCACATTGATAAGTAACTAAAGAAATATAGAAAGGACAGACTTTCCTTCAGAATTTTAATTACTTTTGTTTAAGCTACCCAGTCTGTGGTTTTGTTGTGGCAGTCCAAGAACACTAACATAAGGTGTTTTATGAAATAAAATTACATGAATACTAAAAACAATACGCAGTTGCTTTTCCACATTTCTCTATTCACTCTTTAAGACCTCTAGACTAAAACAGAGGTTGGCAAACTTAGGGGCCAACCTTTGCTCTTTGTAGCTCAGCTAAGAATACTTTTAGATTTTAAATGGTTGAAAAAATTAAAAAGAGTAGCACTTTATGACACAAGAATATTATATGAAATTCAAATTTCAGTGTTCATAACCTTTTTAAATACAAAAAGAATTTCAATTAATATATAAAGAGAGAAATAGAAAACCACTACTAGAGCAACACAGTAATCACCACTGTATACACAGTCAACTATGGACATTACCATTAATGGACAAAAGCTTCAGGAAAAAAAAGAGGACACAGATGGTACCCATACATTCACCCAACTGTGAATAGAAAATATTTGGGAAAAAAACCTGCATTTGTCTGCATGTGCAGACTTTTGTTTCTTGCCATGATTCCCTAATTGATGCAGCATAACATCTGTATACAGAGCATTTACATATTAGACATTATGAATAATCTAGAGATGATTTCAAGCAACCAAATATGAATAATAAACAAATACTATCATATGTATGAAGGACTTGAGCATCTAGATTGATATCCCAAAGGAATCCTGGAATCCATCCCAACAGACAATGAGGGATGACTATATCTGCATAGTCGCAAGTACCTCCTCCAAATATTTACTAATTACAACAGGAAAATTAGTAACTGTATGGTGGAAAACCCAGGAGATATCACTTTAATCAAGGTTAATGCCACCAGTGTAAGACATAGTGACATCATATGTATCCCCTGGCATTTTATTTACTGAGAAAAGCATATCACTTTTGTGGTTTTTGTTTGTTTGTAGTACAGGGGTTTGAACCCAGGGCCTCCCACTTGCTAGGCAGGCATTCTACCACTCCTCTAGCCCTTTTTTGTATTGGGTATTTCCCAGATAGGACCTCACAAACCATTTACCCAACCTGGCTTCAAAACATGATCTTCCTGATCTCTGCCTTCTGAGTAGCTAGGATTATAGGTGTGAGATGCCAGAGCCTGACTTTGTTATTATTATCAAAAAAAAAATAGGTAACACTGGACTGGTGGAGTGCCTCAAGTGGCAGAGTGCCTGCCTAGCAAGCATGAGGCCCTGAATTCAAACACCAGTATGGCAAAAAAAAAAAAAAAAAAAAAGATCTGACTAATACAAATGTCAACAGATTTACATCACTGTTTTAGCATGATGCTGGTGGCTCACGCCTATAGCTACTCAGGAGGCAGAGATCAGGAGGATTGTGATTTGAAACCAGTCTGGACAAAATAGTTTGCAAGAGCCTATCTCAAAAATACCCTTCACAAAAAAGGGCTGGTGGAGTGGCTCAAGGTGTAGGCCACTGAGTAATGAGTAGGTACTGAGTTCAAACACCAGTACCACGAGAGAAAAAAAAAGCTAACGTCAATCTATTCATGAGAAAACTTTAGACAAACCCAAATTGAAGGATAATTTACAAAATCACTGGCCAGTACTCATCAAAGACAAGGACAGACTGAAGAACTTTCACAAATTAGAGAAGACTATGAGTTATGATAATGAAATGCAATGCAGGATTCTGAAAGAAAAAAACCAACCAAATAAGTCTGTAGTTTATTTAACATTACTATACTAATGTTAATTTTTTAGTTTGGTAATTGCACTGTGGTTAGACAAGATGTTAACAATGAGGGAAACTGAGTGAAGAATATATAGGAACTCTATTATTTTTGCAAGTTTTCTGTAAATCTCTATTTCAAAATAAAATATATACACCATGATTACGTCTATGTAAGAATATTCAAAATAAATTTAAAACCAAATAATTAAAATAATAATAGTTTCATATGAGGAATACATCTTTTTGTAAGAAAAATAATTTTTTATACTGTTTAAGTCTATATAACAGCTTGTCTCATAAAGGAGAGAGCACCGAATAGAGGAGACTTTCTTGCTATAGCAAGCTCAAATTGTGTCAGACAGTTTCAATCATCTGCCACAGAGTGTTGCTTGCAAAGAAAAAAAATTTTTTTTTCTAAATCTTCCATAAAGTGATTGTTGTTACTTTCATAATGGGTAATTCAAAGTTTAAAAAAAAAAAAAAAAGACTTACTTTTTATATAGAACTCCATACGGCTTTTTCAGTGCATACTGTAAAACATAATTTAAAGCTTTCAAAACAAAACATTCTGAAAAGCAGAGATAAAATAAAGCATTCTCTCATTCATTCTATGAGGCTGCTCTGGTCCCTAAATCCTGTTCTGATGTCTTCTTCTTGGCTCTCTTTTGATCATTTCAATAATTTGTAACACAGGCTTGATATTCTAACTTACATTGGACTTTCCTAACTAAAGATTCCTATACCTTTCAATAGTCTATACACCTTAAATCTTTTTTTTTTTTTTTGAGACAGTGTCTTACATAGCCCAGGCTGGCCTCAAGCTCACAACCCTCCTGCCTCTCATGTGTTGAGATTATAGACATGCATCACATCTGCCTTCCCTTCATTTCTTTAAACTCTTATATTCTCTCCATGTAAACAACTTGAAAGCAGAAAGAAGTAGAAAGAAAACAGAAAAAACAAATCCTATCAAAAAGGGCTATAACTGAAATAACATTGTCCGAGATAAGAGAACCCAGAAATAGTCATATAGCTAAAGTTTAAACACAGCCCTTTAAAAAATTCCTGTTATTCAACCCTGTTCATTTTTTTTTTTCTACTTCTTTCCACCAATAATCATGTTTTACCTATATGGCCAGTACTGCTCTATCATAGGGTCTAGCAAATATCTAACGTACTGCCCAGTATTAGAGAAAGGGGTCAAAATAAGGTGAAATGATCATTCACCAATTCATCAGTGAAATCAATCTTTTTTGTTTGTTGGATTTTGGAGACAGGGTCTTGCTATGTAGCCCAGGCAGGCTGGCCTTGAACTGTCAATCCTCCTATCTCTACCTACAGAGTGCTGAGATTACAGGTATTCACCACCACATTAAACACTAAAACTTTCAATGATTCTTAGCCACATGTTTCCCTATTTCAGTGTAATATAATGAACATTGCCACCTTTTCTTGATGACTCAGAGCCATCATTATCAATATTAATTAGTGCAATAATCTGAAATATTGTGCTGCTCTTAGAGCTTACTTAAATAGATAGGGACATTCTGCAGACAGGATACAGAAAGGAGAGGGGCCAGGTCCATCAATACAGTGACATTCAGACAAACACATTTCAAAAAAGGATGAGCACATATTAGGTATTCAGATATCTGAACTGACTATTATGTTTAGTAAACATATGGAGTTTAGTCAGGTTTAAAAACATATTCAAGTCGGATGCTGGTGGCTCACACCTATAGTCCTAGCTACTCAGGAGGCAGAGATCAGTAGGATCGCAGTTCAAAGCCAGGCTGGGCAGAAGTTCAAGAAACCCTATCTCGAAAATACCCAATACAAAAAAGAGCTGGCGGAGTGGCTCAAGAGGTAGAATGCTTGCCTAGCAAGCATGAGACCAAGTTCAAACCCTAGTACTGCAAAAAAAGAAAAAATTCAAGCTAGATGTGGTAGCATATAACTGTAATCCCAACACTTAGTAGGCTGAACAGGATTCTCAGTATGAGGCCAGCATGAGTTACATAGTGAGCTTGTCTCAAAAACAAACAAAAACCTAACAAAATACAAAACCAATGAACCAAAACAAACAAAACAAAAACTCCATATTCAATTTCTTAGTTGATTTAACTCAAAGAATCAAACAACTGTACTCAAATCTAAATACTCAACTACCTATTAGATATCGCCATATCCTGTACCTTTCATTCATTAGTTAAACATTTATTAACCATCTACTATGTCCAGGTAGACACCAGGTTATAGAGATTAAAAAAAAAAAAAAAATCCAGAGTTTTACCTTTACTACTTAAATTAGGTGCCCCAAGCTGAACTTTATCACCTTTTCCTCCAAATCTTCCCACCTGATACATTCTGTAATTGGTATTATTGCCATCAGGCACCCAAGCCTGAAGCCTGGGAAGTTCCACTTCTTGCTAATGCCCAAACCCTTCTGCCCTCAACATCTATCCTCTCTGACTGGCTCTCATTTTCATCATCACCATCAGATTCTAGATGCTCTTTACCAGGTTGACAGCATGTTCTCTCAACCCTTCCTAATCAAGCCAGTAAAGCAGGTTAATCTGTGCTGGAAGGTACAGCTCACTTGGAGAACCTGTGCCTAGTCTGCACAGGCCCTGTATTCTATCCCCAGCACCACAAAATTAAAAAAAAAAAAAAAGGGGAGAGGAGAAAAACTGATCATATCTCTCACTTAAAATCTTTCAATGAAAATAACAAATAATTTTAAAAATGTTTCAATGAAGTTGGGCATGGTGGTGTATACCTGTAACCCAAGCAGTCTGGAGGCTGAGTCAGGATTTTAAATTCCAGGCCAACTTGGGCTAAATAGCAAGTGGGTCAGCCTTACTATTTTTTGAGACCTTGTCCCAAAAAAAAAAAAAAAGTAGAACCAAAAAAACCTTTCAATGACTTCACAGAATTTTCAGAATAAAATCTCAAATCCATGTTACTGCACAATCCCTGCATCCTTTTCTAGAGTCATAGTCTACTCTCCTTTGGCCAACCCCAGTTATTTGTAATTCTCCAAATACAATATGCTCCTTTCCACCTGCTTCTTCACAAGCTTCTTCCTCAGCCTTGTAAGCTTCCTCTCTGCCTTCTTGTTCCAATTCCTCCTTCAAAATGAAATTTAAGTGTTATTTATGGGCAGTTCAGCTTGTGTGTGGGCCCCCACTATGTGACTGGATTTTTTTTTTTTTTGACAGTATTAGGGATTGAATCCAGGGCCTTAAGAATGCTAGGCAAGTACCCTATCGCTTGAACATCCCTGGCCCTTCCCTATGAGATTTTAACTCTTATTTCTCATCCTACCCTAGGCATGCTTCCAAAACAGCACTTAAATTCACAATGGTTATAATTTACATGTCTTTGTTGAAGTTCACTAAAGGACAAGACTATAGCTTACCTGTTAATTCCCAGAACCTAGGACAGTAACCAGTGTTGCTCAATTAATAATACAGTAATATGCAGTTATGTTACTTGACAAATAACCTTCAATTTCAACTCTTCTCTAAGACTAGTAGGTCTTAAGATAGGCAAACTTATCTTACTTAGCCCAATACCTTTTTTAAAAAAAAAAAAGGATATTCCAGGCCACTCTAGACTACATAGCAAGACCCTGTCTCCTGAAGAAAAAAAAGCAAATATAGATACATACCACATCTTTGAGTACTTGAGTCACTGTGGCATTTGCATTTCCCCCTTTAATCAGCATGGCATTTTTAATATTTTCACTGAGTTTTGGTTCTCTCTTCTCAAGGAATCTCTTGGCCCTTTTTGTTTTGGGTTTTCTGTTCAGAAAAGTACAATTCATAACAACTTGAACATTTTCCTCATATTATACAACCACAACTTGATGAGCAAACTCTTAAAAATCAACAGAAATTACATTCACATATTTATGTTAGGATTCCATCATTAAATAAATTCTCACTTTTTACAGAGATATTAGTAAAAAAAAATCCCATTACTACTGTTAAATGTTTTATTAGCTTTTCTTAAAGAACAATTTCTCTTTGATATTACCAGTATTCTTTTACTACTGCCTTTTCCTAAACTTTTTTTTATTAAAAATTAAAGGACTCAAATGAATAGTTACTTTTACTCTGCTATATTTTTCAAGCTTAAAATAGACAAATTACCCTGTACCTTATCACAAAGAACTGCACATTAATTGCTGATCAACCTGTGTCCACTGATTAAACACTGGAGGCAAATTACTGTTCATCTTTCTTCCAGGTTTAAGATCACGATGCCTGCCAGGAAGTATATACTGTCTGACCATAACATTATTACTATTGAAGGGAATAATAATAGTTGGCATTTTTACAGAATAATTCTGTTAAAGGTAAATTTTCCCCACAACCCTATGAGATAAGTACAATTACTATCTTCAGTTTACTGTGATGAGACAACTAATACTAGAAAAGTAATGTGCCCACAGTCACACAGATGTGTAGGCCATTGTTCAAAATGAGCTATATTTAAAAACTCCTGTAGACCAATCACCTGGCATAATACGAAAGTAAATCAAATTCACTACTTTGATTTTATGATGTTATTATATATTTCTGTTCAGAAAAAAGGCTTCACCTTTGCCTCCTGTATGGTGAACATAATGCTTTTCAAATAGTTCCCTACCATCTATTAATAGAATTCCTCCACTAAACAACCATGACCCTCCTCTTGGAGGTTTTTTTTGTGGGTTTTTTTTTTTTTTTTTTTTTTTCCTGTACTGGGGGCATACACCTTGAGCCACTCCACCAGCCCTTTTTTTGTGATGGGTTTTTTCCAGATAGGATCTTGTGAACTATTTTCCCAGGCTGGCTTGGAACCACAATCCTCCTGATCTCTGGCCCCTGAGTAGCTAAGATTACAGGAGTGAGTCACCAGCACCAGGCTCCCTCTTCCAGTCTTATGGTCACTCAGAGAAGGAAAAGAAAAAACAGAATATATATCCACTTCGGTTTCCTATTTAGAATTTAAAAATTCTCCTCCAGATAAAACGTCAATAAAGCTTCTAGTCACATACTAGTTGATCAAGATATACATTACTTATTAAATCAAATCAGGAAATTAGTAGTTGTCTATAATAGTAGTAAGTGCTATGTGCTCCATCGTCCATGTGGTTTGTTACTTCTCACTAGCCAAAAGGAATGGAAATAGCAGCCCCCATGCTTTATCAGCGGTTTGTCTATTAGTAAACTAGTCTTATTCATCTTTGTAATCCCAACACTTCCGAAGTATGGGAAGTAAGCACAATCTCTGAACGACAAAAAAGAATCTGTCGTTTACATTGCACTTGTAAATCGAAAAAAAAAACCTACATCAAATAACAGCAGGAATATTTAGGAACTCTGTAAATACTTTTTGACCAAACTTAAGAGAGACATCACCCATGAGTAACTAGAGTGTACAAAGTTGGAAGGAAAAGAAAACGCTAATGAATGTGTTCTACACGCTGTAGCAAAGGTCTTAAACATGCGTGTGCCAAATTCTCACAGCCCAATGACGAACGACTATTAAGATACCTATCTTACAGCGTAAACTCACATTCAGGGAGGAGGTTTAATGTCCAAAGTGGACGCGCCCGGATTGTCACCTAGATCTGTCAGATGCCGAAGCCCGCACTCAACCTTCCCTCTACCATCGCCCTCACACTTCAGAAGCCTTTTGTTTGTTAATGGCTGAGGTAAAAGCACCAATGCCTCAGATGCTGGGGCGACAGCTCGGCTCCTACTCCCTGCACGGGCTGGGGAACCGAGCGGCGCCTACCCAGGCACGACTAGCAAACCGCGTCGGAAAGGACGGCGGTCACCGGGGAAGCAGAGGCAGAGTCACTCTCGCCACTGCAGACCGTCTCCCCAACGTCCCCCGCTGGCGGAGACCAGCGTACTTACACAACTCGATCCAAAGCATCCATCTCTACCACAACCGGAGCCCGGAACACACACGTGCGCCGTGCGGTTGCGCGAGACGCACGCGCGCGCGCCGACTCCGGCGGAACCGGAAATGCGTCAGGCAACCTTCCTAAGACAGACGCGCCGCGTTTGCTGGCGGCCATTTTGAGTAGGAATCGCGTTCTGTTTCCTTGGTTACGGAATTTCGCCTTGGCTTTTTTCCGGAAAAAAAAGATGTAACACTTTAAGTAACATCGTCTATATAAGTGGAGTAAGGCATTCAGGAACCAAGTGTTCTTCAGGGAATCTCCCAGGCTGCTAGAAATGTTGAAAGCAAGGAAGATATTCATGTAGTTACAAAAAATACTAATGTCAAATGAGCACCACTGACTTAACTGTGAGATCGAAGGAGGCACAGTTGCCTAATACACAAAAGATATGTCGAAAATACTGCTGATTGTGATTTCCCCACAGACTCTTGTTTTTTCTTGGCATACTGGGATCTGAACTCAGGGCCTTGGCTTGCTTGCAAGCACTCCATCACTTGAACCATGCCTCCAACCCCTCCCCTCTCCCTTTTTATTTTTCTGATAAGGGCTTGTACATTGTGCAAGAGCTGGCCTCCAACCGCATCCTCCCCATCTCATGCCTTCAGGCATAGCTGGATTACAGTTGTGAGCCACCACGCTAGGTCTCCCCTCTCTCCATATTTTTTTTTCCAACTAACAATAATGGCGTTTGGATAAAACTCATTGGCTGTGATCCTACTATGGTGGAAAACTTGCAAAAAAAAAAAATTACTGCCATGTAATTCAAATATGAAATTCAGCCCTTTACTGTGTACAATTCAGTGGGTTTGGGTATATTTACAGATGTGCAACCATAACCACTATCTAATTGCAGAACACTTTATCATTTCAAAAATAGCTCCAAGTGGGGTGTGGTGGTATATATCTGTAATCCCAGCACTCAGGAGGCTGAGGCAGGAAGATTGAGAGTTCCAGGCCAGTTTAGGAAACATAGTGAGACCTGTCTCAAAAAACAAAGACGCTAGGCACTAGTGGCTTATGGCTGTAATCCTAGCTAACTGGGAGGCTGAAATTGGGAATATGGTGGTTCCAGGCCCATTCAGGCAAATAGTTCATGAGACCAATGAGATGTCCATCTCCAAGGTAACCAAAGCAAAATACACTGGAGGCATGGCTTAAGTGGTAGAGTGCCAACTTTCCAAGTACTTAGTTCCAATCGCAGTCCCAGCAAAAAAATAAAAATAAAAATATAAGGACTATGAGTAAAGGCCATGGATTTAATTCCCAACACTGGAAGGTAAAGAAAAAGGTCAGCAGGACTGCATTCAATTCCTTTTGGAAGATCTAAGGGAAAAATCTGTTACTTTCCTAGTGAACTTCTGCTTCCATTGTCGTATCTTTTTCTCTGATGCTCTGACACTCCTGATCCCTCCCATGACAAACTTTATGATTACATGGGCATCACTTGATTAATCCAAGATAGCTTGACATCTCCTGTTCCTTAATCATGTAACAAATTCCCTTTGGCCATGTAAAATAACATTCACAAGGCTGAAGGGCGGTTCAAATAGTAGAGCACCTGCCTGTAAGGTACTGCCAAATAAAGACCATGCCACATGTGGAAAAGAAAGATTTATTGGAACCAGACCGCAGGGCTGTCACTCTTTTTGGGTTCAGAGTGAAGTGGCTTGGCTGAAATGAGTAGTGGGCTTTATAGGAGGGGCCAAGCCATGGGGCAGGGAGAGAGTCTCTGGTCTCTGATTATCTGTGATCACCAGATGGAACAGGTCGACATGCCTGGCTAGTTGAGTAACTGGAAGTTCCTAAGTTGTTTTGCAAGCTGAGAAACAATCAGGCAGGGAAACAAGCTTGGGAGAAACAAATGGTCATAAATCAGGGGGTCTGGTTTCAGTGCTAGCCTCTGGACCTTCTGCCCACCCCAAGAATGCCAGGTACCTAACACTGCCTAACAAGCATGAGGCCCTCAGTTTAAACCCCCCAGTACCACCAAAAAAAGAAAGAGAAACTAAAGTAAGTGATGATATTCTTCTGTTGTTTCTGATCTTAGGGGACAAACATCCAGTCTTTCATTGCTAAGTATGATGCTGAGTGTGGGATTTTCCTCATGCCTTTTATCAGGTTGAAAAAGTTACATTAACTGCAGGTAAAGATTGTAGAATTTGTTCCTAGTGTTTTTTTTTTTTTTTGATGTGTATTGGATGTTGTCACATGCTCTTTCTGTACCTATTGACTTTGGGCATATCCCTAGGAGTGGTATTGCTGGATCATATGGCAGATCTATTTCTGGTTTTTTAAGAAGTTTCTATACTGTTTTCCATAGTGGTTGTACTAGCTTACATTCCCACCAGCAGTGTATGAGAGTCCATCCAACCCACACACACACACCCACCACTACTCTCGCCAACATTTGTCACTGTTCTTGGTCATATCAATTCTAACAGGAGGGAGGTGGAATCTTAAGTGTGGTTTTGATTTGCATTTCTTTTATGTCCAGGGATGGTGAGCATTTTTTCATGTATTTTTAGCCATTTGGACTTCTTCCTTTGAAAAAGTTCTGTTTAGTTCAGTTGCCCATTTCTTTATTGCGTCATTGATTTTTGGGGAGTTTAGTTTTTTGAGTTCCCTGTGTATTCTATCAGTCGCTTGTCTGATGTACAGCTAGCAAAGATTTTCTCCCATTCTGTGGGTGGCCTCTTCAATTTAGAGACCATTTCTTTTATTGTGCTGAAGCTTTTTAATTTCATGCAGTCCCACTTGTCAATCCTCTCTTAGTTGCTGAGGTCCTGAGTTTTTCTATGTGGGAAAAAATTTTTTTTTTGTAGTACTGGGGTTTTAACTCAGGCCCTCATGCTTGCTAGCTAGGCAGGCAGTCTACCACTTGAGCCATTTGGCAGCCCTTTGTGATGGTTTTTTTCTTTTTTTTTTTTTTGGAATAGGGCCTCAGGAACTATTTGGGCTGACTTTGAACCGAGATCCTGATCTCTGCCTCCTGAGTAGCTAGGATTACAGATCTGGGCGACCAGCACCAGCTATGTGGGAAATTTTTTGATTACTAATTCAATCTCTTTTCTTAAGTCATAGTTGGTTGAATGACGCCCCTCTTCCCTCTCAAAGAAAAAGATATAGGTCACATCCACATCCTTAAAAACCTCTACCTTATTCACATTACAAGTCAGGGAGATTACTGGATTCCTCCCCCCCCACCACCAAACTGTGGCTTGGAAACTACCTCTAGGCAGTATGGTGGGGCAGTCATAGGGATTTCCTCATTTGTTCACCCAGACAGTTTAGGCATCAAAATTTTCTTTGACTGTGGCATTCAGAATAAAGGCCTCCTAAAATGACTATATCCTAATCCCTAGAACCTATGAATATGTTAGTTTACATAGTAAATAGGATTTGGTAGATGTTATTTGGTAGTACTGGATTTGCACTCAGGGCCTCACACTTGCTAGGCAGGCACTCTACCACTTGAGTCACTCACCAGCCCTGTTTTGTGTTGGGTGTTTGAGATAGGGTTTAGTGAACTATCTGCCTGGACTAGCTCTGAACCACGATCCTCCTAATCTGTCTCCTGAGTAGGGAGGATTATGGGCGTGAGCCATTGGCACCCTGCTGGATTTTACAGATATTACTAAGGATCCTTAAATCAGATTATCCTGATTTTCCAGGTGGGCCCCAATACAATCATTAGAAAAGGGACCTTAAAAGAGGGAGGCAGAAGTGTACTGGAGAAGAAAATGTTAACAGATGCAGAAGTCAGAATGAGAGAGAGATTTGAAGATGTTCACTGCTTCCTTTCGAGTATGAAGGGACAACTAGCCAAGGAATGCAGACAGTCTCAACAATCTGGGAAAAACCAGGAAAAGGATTCTCTCTGATGTTTCAGATATCTTGTTATAGCAGTAGAAAACAGATCAAAACACTCCATAGAACTAATTTCTCTTGAAACCCTAAGTGTACCTTCTTTGCAATAAGGAATACGACACTTACAGAATCCCAAAACCCATGGGTTTTTTTCTCTTTTTATTGTTTTGAGACAGTGTCTCATTATGTAGCCCAGACTGGACTGTAACTTTTTTGCAGTACTAGGGTTTTGAACTCAAGGCCTTCTAAGTACTCTTATCATTTGAGCTATGCCTGCAACCCTTTTGCTTTAGGTTATTTTTCAGATTGGATCTCGATTTTTGTGCTTCCTAAGTAGCTGGAATTACAGGTGTGGATCATACCCAGCTCCCAAAGCCCGTATTTTCTCTTTTTTTTTTAAATATGGAACATTTCACAAATTTTTGTATCATCCTGCACAGGGGCCATGCTAATCTGCTCTGTATCATTCCAATTTTAGTATATATGCTGCCAAAAGCGAGCACAAGCCCATGTTTTCTAATGGGCATTTACAGTACTTGTTAGTCATCCTTGTACAGATACAGTTTACCAATAAGGGGTCTTTTTCTTGTTGGAGCTGGGGATTGAACACAGAGCTTCACACATGCTAGGTTAGCACCGTATCACTGAACTATACCCCCCAGCCAAGAAGTTTTTTTGTTTTTTTTTTGGGGGGGGAGGGCAGTACTAGGTTTAAACTCAGGGCTTCATGCTTGCTGGGCAGGCACTCTACCAGTTGAGCCACATCTCCAAACCCAAGGTTATTTTACCAAGGAGAAAGAGAAAGGGTTTTGTTAACTCTATTCATAGCAGTCCAAGGTAATGTAATTGTATCGGAACCCAATCTTCTATCTTCTTGTTCTGCCACTTATGGCTTCTACTTCTAAGGTAACTTTAAAATTCAAAAATTCTTCCAGCACTTGAGATGTACAGGCAGGAGGATTAAAAGTTTGAGACCAGCTGGCCACACAGCAAGACTGTCTCAAAAATAAAGAAGAAAGTGGGGCGGGGGGTGGGGGGGTATAGGAGAAGGAAGGGGAGGGACTTGGGACTTGGTCAAAAGGCAAAAAAAAGTACTCATCAGAAAAGGGAACCCAAAGTCATTTAAACCGTATTTAAAAATTTTTAAATCATGTCTTATACTGAATGATTCTGGAATATCAAGTTGTGCTGTGACTGGAAGTTTGCACATAGCCAACAAAAACAGTAAAATAATGAACCTACTGAAAGCTACACAGCCAATTATTTTACAAAACAGTATTTTTAAAAGTTCATGACTACTCATTATGAGAAACATTTTATCTAGGAGTAATTTCTAAGGCAGCATCTTGAGTTTCTATAAAGACAGGACCTTCCATCTCAGAAGGGGTATCAACAAGAGGACCAGAATCCTCTGTTTCCAAGTGCAGTGGTTTCTCCTGCTCATAGATCAGGTTTGAGCTGACTTTCATTTGAGTCTCTTGCTCTTCCAACTCCAAAGGTTTATCAGGGCCCGGAACTACAACTTCATCTTCATTTTCATGAACAAAGCTACAAATCATATTTGGTCTATAGGAAAAGTCATTCTCCTTCATTTGTAGCCATTCTACTCCATCTAATTGGGGGACAAACCAAGAAAGAAACATGAAAAATAAATTTTAATTAAGCATATTTTTCTTTAAATATTCTATGAATATGGCAAAAAAAAAAAAACCCAACATAAGCCAACTGTAACTACTGATAAAATAATCATGCAATTTTCATCTTCTCTTGGAGACCCTGGAATGCCTATATGGTATGCATCATCAAAATCACTAGAAGTAATCAACTTCAATTACTGCTCCATGCCTTTTCCAGAATTAAATTCTCAACTCATTCTGAGAAATAATATGTGCTCTCATTGCCATCTCATGCCTTAAGAGAAATTTTGTCACTTTCCTACAATTTCTTCCTTATTTATCTGATTTTCATAATACAACAGATGATACCTTCCATTTTCTTTTCTTTGGAGGATAGAGTGGGCTGGCTGTTGGGGACTGAATCCAGAGCTTTGAGCATGCTCCACACAGGCTCTGTCACTCCTCCCCAGTGACAGTGTTACCTCCCCAGCCCCAGTGTGATTTACCTTCTGAGAAGGTAAGAGTCATACCTCCTGTCTATTAATATCCAGTCTTCGTGGATATTAAGTTTCTTCCCCCTCCCTTGGGACAGAGTCTGGCTTTGGTCCAGGCTGGCCTTGAATTCAAAATCCTCCTGCCTCAGGAGGCATGTACCACCACACCCAGATTCATATTTCAAAACTCCTCATTGTTGTTTCTGATGCAAAGCTGACAGATTTCTTTTCTTTCCTTCTTTTTTTGGTGGTCCTGGGGTTTGAACTCAGGGCTTTGTATTGGCTAGGCAGGCACTCTGCCCTTGAGCCACACTTCCAGCCCCAGATAAAGGTTTCTTATATGCCCCCAGTATCTTAAGCTGAATTTTAAATCTAGGCTTAGTACTTCTCATGTAGCAACCTTATTTAGTCATTAGTTTTTGTTTTTGCTTTTTTTTTTTTTTTTTAAACAATGCTGGGGATTGAACCTTAGCTTCATTCATGCTAAGAAACACTATCACTGTTAACTTTTTTGGTTTTCTTGCCGTTCCCTCACAAAGAGGCTTATTACACTCTTAGAAAGTTTTTATTTATTTACTTACTTAGCATTGCTAGGAACAAACACAGGACCTGGAGCATGCTAAGCAAGTTGCGGTACTAGGGTTTGGACTCAGGGCTTCACACTTGCTAGTCAGGCTCTCTATCACTTAAGCAACACTACCAGCTGCTCAATTTTAATATACTAAACATATTATATAGTTATTAATAAAAAGCACACAGAATGTCCTGACAGCACTGTGTCATTGTCAAAGCTAACACTAGACACTCACTTTCAGGGAATTAGGTGTACTGACCTGTATTCTCTTCTCCTTCTTTCTTTTCTGTCAGAAGGGTTCTTGTCATGCTGAGTTTCTTCATTGTATGGCATTTGTATTTTAACAGTGCTTTATCACTGCCTTCTGCATCCACTAGAACATAAAATGAACTCAATTACTTCACTGCTTGATAATCGGCAAGGAAAATAATAATCTTAAACCTCAATAATTCCGGTTTAGGGACTCTAATTCATACCTCCTGCTCCAAGCACAAAGAAATGACAGGTAGTACCTACAATTCTACCTCTCAAAATGAAGGAATGAAGACAGACTTATTACTTGAAGCCAAAGGATGGAGTGGGGACATTTTCAATTATAAAAGAAAGCTGATAAAAAAAGAAGTGCTGCTATGCCAAGTACTGGTGGCTCATGCCTATAATCCAAGCTACTCAGGAGGCAGAGATCAGGAGGATCAAGGTTCAAAGAGAGCCCGGGAAAATAGTTCGTGAGACCCTATCTCGAAAAAAATCCATCACATACACACAAAAAAGCGGGGGTGGTGGGGGAGCACTGCTCTCCAACGCCAGCACTGTCTCTCACTCGTTGAGCTCCAGCCAGAGGAGAAGGGGGGTAAGTAAGGAGCTCTATGTACCATGGCCCATGGTAAAGAGTTCAGGAAACAACTGGCTACAAAAGCTGCTCACAAAAGTGTGCCCTCTACCAGGAGTGAAGAAACCTCTGAACTTCTGATTTGCAAACTCCTCTCCCAGGGTCTGGTGTGAAAAATTGCTCAGGACTTCAAAACAGATCTCCACTTCCAGAGCACAGCTACTGGTGCTTTGCAGGCCTTTTTGAAGACGCCCACCTGTGTGTTATCCATGCCAAATGTGTGACAATTATGCCAAAAGACAGCCAGCTAGCATGCCACATACATGGAAAACGTGCTTAAGAACCACCAAGGTGGGAAACACATCATTCTTTAAACAATTTTTTTTCTCTTCTTCTTATTGTCAGTAGTTCTAAATGTTAGATCTTTTTTCCCCATGGGGTCAAAAGGTACCCAAGTATATGACTGCAAATGGAAAACAGGGGACAGACATCAGGTATTGGCAATTTTTCCATTTTCATTTGTGTGGATTTTTAATATAAATGCAGGGATATAAAGCATTAATGTAGATCAAATGTTTCAGTGACCAAGTGTCAGCAGTTCAACTTTGTAACAATTATAAATAAACCTGTTAAATTTTTCTGGACAATGTCAGCATTTGGATTTTTTTAAAATAAGTTTCTTATTGATGACAAAAAAAAAAGGGCTGGCGGAGTGGTTCAAGGTATAGGCCCCGAGTTCAAACCCCAGTAGAGCAAAAAAAAAAAAAAAAAAAAATGCTGCTACAAATTGTGGGCCCAGACAGGAGAGAAGATGTGGTTCTGAGCCAAATGTGAAGCACTGGAAACTCTCATACACTGCTTTGTGAGGGTAACCTGATGCTACACTTTATAGACAGTAACATTCTGATAGCTATTAATTTGAACCATACAAATTTTTTTTTCTTTTATTATTCATATGTGCATACAGGCTTGGGTCATTTCTCCCCCCTGTCCCCACCCCCTCCCTTACCACCCATTCCGCCCCCTCCCTTCCCCCCCGCCTCGAACCATACAAATTGCTACACTTTTCTAACAGCTATTAATTTGAACCATACCAATTGTTGATATTCAGCCAAATTGGTAATTAAAGATAACACACACTCATCAATCTTTTTTTTGTTTTTTTTTCCCAGAACTGGGGTTTGAATTTATGGTCTCACAATTGCTAGGCAACACTCTACCAGTGAGCCACTCTGCCAGCTCTTTTTTATGATGGTTTTTTTTTTTTTTTTTTTTTTTTTAAGAGATAGGGTCTCAAGAATTATTTGCCCAGGGCTGGCTTCAAACTGAGATCCTCCTGATCTCTATCTCCTGAGTAGCTAGGATTACAGGTGTGAGCCACCAGTGCCTGGCCTTATCAATCTATTTCTAAATGTAAACCTTGAAGACATTTTTACAAATAATCATAAGGAGACAAAAGAATACGTATAGCAGCATTTTTGTAGTGGGACAATGGGCCTAATTAAGGCTGTTAAACCAGAAGTGATGGTGCATACCTATAATCCCAGCACTCAAGAAGCTGAGGCAGAAGGATAGAGTCTGTTGCAAGCCTAGGGCTACATAATGAGACCCAGTCTCAAACAACTAAAAGAGAAAGGAACTAAAAAAAAAAAAGAATTGTGGACTCTGGGCTAGGGGTGTATGTAAGTCAGTGATAGAGTGCTTGCCTAACATGCACAAAGCAGTGGTTTTATCCCTAACAACACACACACACACACAATGTGGACTCCGAATCTAGACCACCTAAGTTCAAAACCTGGCTCTTCACTTACTTCTTGTAAGACTTTGGAATGTTATTACCTCTCAGTGTCTCAGTTTCTTCAACTATGAAATGAACATAATAATGTCATCTATTCAAGCACTTGGGAGGAAGATCACACATTTGAGGCCAGCTTGGGCTATGTAGCAAGACACTACCAAAAACCAACCTGCCCCCCACCCCAAAAACAACGACAAAAACTAATTCAAAAGATAGAAGGGAGTATATTTGGAATGGGTTATATAGGGTTAATTATATCTGGAATATTTTTAAACTATAAAGTCAAGTTTGACAAAAATAGGTGGATCTGATACACCTACATAATAGGTACATGGATGTTTAATTTTTTTTTTTGGAGAAATTAAACCTTTATTTTTATTTATTTATTCATATGTGCATACATTGTTTGGGCCATTTCTCCCCCATCATCCACCCTCTCTCTCTCACTTACAGGCAGAAATCTGTTCTGCCCTTTTCTCTAATTTTATTGAAGAGTAGACATAAGCAGTAATAAGAAAGACATAAGCGTTTTTGCTAGTTGAGATAAGGACAGCTATACAGAGAGATTCCCAGCATTGCTTCCATGTACAAGTATATTACAAACCAAACTGACTCATCACTACCAGACCTCTCCACTACTTCCCATACTGACCTCTGTCACTTAAGGTTACTGTATTAGCTCCTCTGCAGTGGGGACATCACACGCTTTCAAGTTTTGGGTTTCCTACCTATCCCCATTCCTCCTGTATATGCTCTCCCCTTAGCGTGTGACCCAAGTCCAACATTGCTGCATTTGCCCTAGATAATTTTAATACTTATTATTTATAGCATGTTTAAAGCTGGGCATGGTGGTACACACCTGTAATCCCACCAATCCTCTCAAGAGGCAGAGGCAGGAGCTTAACAAGTTTGAGGCCAGCCTGAGCTACCTATGAGACCCTGTCTCAAAAGAAAAAAAATATGTTTGAAATAGCCATAGTAAAAAAGTTGGGCCAGTATTGCAATTACCTACCATGTTCAACATTTTCTTCAAATATAACACAGGTCCCAAGAGTATCTGCAGAAAATTTAAAGGTAAATTGTTGAAAACTGACAGAGCTATCTTCTCTGAAAGTCATATTTAAAAAGGAGTTTCATCTGCCTCACATTATCCTACCTTCATATTCCCCAGCAAAGACATAGCTGTCCACTTGAAGAATGGGCCTCTCAGTGTCAATTCCCTATAATAGAATAAAGGACCATAAAAATAAAAAAATCATTATAAAAAGCCTTCAAGAGGCCTATACAGGAGAAGGGGACAACAGAGAGGGGAATGAGAAATGGGTAGGGTTAATATGATCAAGTACATTATATGCATGTGTTAAAATGTCACAATGAAATCTATTTGTTTTGTACAATTCATATAGATTTAAAAAAAAAAAACTGGGCATAGTAGCTCAAACCTATAATCCTAGCTATTTCCAAGGCATAGATCAGAAGGACTGAGGTTCAAGGCCAGCGTGGGCAAAAAGTTCAAGAAAATCCTTCTCAACCAATGGCTGGCACAGTGGCACACACCTGGCATCCCAGTTAAGTGGGGAAGCACAAATAGGACAGAGGTCCAGGCTGGCCTGGGAAATAAAGATCTGGGGGCATGGCTCAAATGGTAGAGGGCTTGCTAGTCAAGCTTGCTAGTAGTATGAGGTCCTGAGTTCAATCCCTAGTACTTCAAACAAAACCATCCAAAAGCATACCAAAAAAAAAAAGCTTCAATATGTATACTTGTTACCAAGGAAACTGATCTTTACAACTGGGGAACCAAAAAAAACAAACAAAAAATACTGGGATGGGGAAACTCTAGAGCATCTTGTTCTAGCAAATATAAAGTAAGCTACCAGTGCTCTGATCCCAGCAGCTACCACTGGAAGATAATTTATGCCCAAGTAGCAAGGTCTGTTTTAGTCAACATCCCCTTCAAACCTAAAATAAGAACAAAGAGCAGCCTGGTGTTTTGGTACTTGTCTATAATCCCAGGAGGCTGAGGCAGAAGAATTTAGAGTTGGAGGCCAGCCTAGGCTACAAAGCAAGATCCAGGCCAGTCTGGGCTAAAAAGTGAGACGCTGTCTTAAAAAACAAAAACGAAAAACTCACAGGAAGTTTTCTGGTCAGTAGCTCAAAGGTTTTTTAGTAAAATTGTAAGGACCAGGGTTGTAGCTCAGAGTAAAGCACTTGCCTAGCATTGCTAAATAAATAAACAAAATCCACACTCATGACCAACTAGAATCCTAGATTACCCCAACAAATTGATAAAAAGCCTAATTCTTTTTTCTGTCAAAGGGCAGCCTAAATTTTCCTTAATCAGTGCAGTACCCTTCTTCACAGCCTAAACCCCTTCCCCTTCAATTAAAGGTTCTGCCTGAGAGTTCAAGCTCTTCACCTCAGGTTTATTTCTATTGCCTGTGAAACAGAAGTTCCCTCTCATCCAGTATCAGTTTTATCTTCCCACCTTTCTCCTACATAGCTTAACCTCTATGCACACCTGATTATCCTCTCTCCTTTGTTTTTCCCATCTCACTTTCTAAAATAAGGTATCACACTGTTCTGCAGGGCGCTAGTCACTGGTCTAACCAACTCCATTTTGTCCTTCTCTGGCTCTATTTTGGGCTCTTTAATTTTTTTCCTCTTAATTTTTTTCTTTCTTGGATTCCAAAAATGGCAGGACTGATCCATAAATATCTTTATGACAAGGAATCAAAACTACTCTCAAGCAACAGCAAGCCTTCCAGAACAGATCATCCCTCCCACCCCCCAAAACAAACAAAACAAAAACCCCTGAGGGCAGTTACCCATGGACTAAGGCTTGAGCAGCAGTAATCATCTCATGGGAATCAGACTGCTGCCTGTCAAATGATGAGCGTGATTATCAATTTCTCCAGAACCCCTTGCAGAACCATAACTGAGAGACTGACTGATCAGACCCTAGCCTGACTTATGCAAACTCCAACCCTCCACTTCTTTTCCCTCTCCTGTAAAACCTCAAAATTTGCACTTGGGGGGGTCACTGAACCCCTTTATCTGTTCTTTCCAAATGGACTCGTTAATTAAATCGTGTGTGTGGGGGGGGTGGAACTGGGGTTTGAACTCAGGGCTTCCTGCTTGCAAAGCAGGCACTCTCGCTTGAGTCACACCGCCAGTGCATTTTGCCCTGGCTATTTTGGAGATGGGGGGCGGGGTCTCTTTAACGATTTGTCGGGGCTGGCCCTGAACCTCGACCCTCGCGACTGCAGCCTCCCCGGTAGCCAGGATTACAGGCGCGAGCCACCAGTTCCCTCCCGGCGACATCTCCTTTCTCTGTCCCTCTCCACTACTAGCCTCTGGGTACCGGGAAGGGTGGCGGGTCCAGTCTTCTGGGATTCCTGGGGCCCGGCTTTTGCCCAAAAACTCGAGGCGCAGTCCCACAGCAAAGCGTCACCCCGGTGTCTCCGTCCCCGGCCAGGGTCAGGCACTGCACCTACTCCCACAGCTCGCCTGCACCGCTAGGACGAGCCGTGAGAGTCCGCTGCCTTGCGGGTGGCAGGAACGTCAGTCTTTGCAGACGGGACGTTTCACCATTCACGTTTTAACTTTAAGAAAACCGCGACAATCCCCCCAGTCTAGAAGACTCACCAGAATCTTGCATTTGTTTTCGCACTTTGAAAGAAAATCTGAGTCAATAATTCCCGAGAGTTCCACGAGAACGAACTGCTCCTGGTGGAGGACAGGGGTTATCACGGCGGCCCGCGGGGTCTGCCCCGCGCCGGCCCTGCTCCCTCCCACTGCGGCGCGGCAACCAGGCCCGGGGCAGCCCCCGCCCACGCCCGGCCTCCACTCCCACGCCGCGGGGCCGCGCCCCCCGCCCCGGACGCCACTGCAGCCCCGGCTTCCGGACCGGCGCTCACCGCCTCCTCTGCCTCGTCGTCCTCGTCCTCGTCGTCCTCGTCCCAGTCCTCCCAACGCAGCTCCTCGGTTGCTGCCATGGCCCGCGCGTCCTCCGAGCCTCCGTCACTGACCACGCCCGCGCGGGGCCGCCATCTTGAGTACGGGCAGCAGCGCTCTGAGATTTGGCTCCTTCCCGCGCGAGCCGCCCCTGCCAGAACACAAGATGGCGGCCTCCGGCTCGAGTGCCCGAGTCCACGTGGAGACCTCCCCTCCCCCCAACGTGTCTCCCCTTGTTCTGTTCCCTAAGGCAAGAGCGGAGGTCCTGCCGCCTGGAACCGCCGGGCCTGACCCAGCTGGGAAGAGGGGACTGGAGAGGCCGAGGGAGAAACCACGTGTGCCAGGAACTGGACAGCCAGGCCCCGTGTGCATTCCTGCGAGTACTTGTACGGCGGGAGCGCTGATCCTCAATTCAGGGTCTCTTGGAGCCAAGTCAAAGACACATTCAGTTCAACACGTAAAAAGCGCCATCCTAACAGCTTTAAGATACAGAAAGTGAGCTTGGGTTTTGGGCCTGCAAAAGCATAGGAGGTATCAAGTGCTGCAAGAAAGATTGTCAAGGGAACATTTTTATGAGAACCAGGCACAAGAATTTTTTAAGTATGTCATAGATTTTTCTGATTATACAATAAGTGGTCTTTAGACTTAAGACAGGATGATCTGGTGGTTAAGAAGACCCTTCATGGGCTGGAGGTGTGGCTCAAGTTATTAAACTGAATGTGAGAATAAACTAAAGTCAGGTCTTTTCTGTAAAAGAGGTTAATGTATAACATTATCATTGTACAGATGTCAGCTTACCCAAATTGTTGCCTGTGTGCCCTGTGACACGTCACTTAACCCTGTAAATTCGTGTTTTAAACAAAGGGCTATTCTTCGTAACTGAGCAAGTTCCTGTTATCACCAGGTGTCCTAGTTTCAAACACTGCTTCCTTAAAGCAACTATTGTTCAAGTAAATCTTTGCTCTCTCTGCCACAGGTTGCTTGCCTGTCACACCCTCTTTTCAAATTAGCCAGCTGTAAAGATTGTGAACCTTAAACCCCGTCCATTTAGGGTGAGGGACAGACTGGTGTTAGAGATAAATCCTGAGCTGACTTCCTACCCAGTGTGCTTGCTAACTGGACTCTTTGACACACCCTTCAGTAGAAGTAAATTTTGCCTTGCCTGTTGACTTCTGAGTTGTGTTGTTTCTCTCATGATACCCCAATCTGGTAAAGATATTTCTAACATGAAGACCTGAGTTCAAATCCTAGTACTGACAAAAGAGAAAGACCTTTTATGTCTGATACCAGTCACATTTTGCTGTGTTATTAACAGCAAGATCTTAGGCAAAATGACTATTGTGAGGATAAATGAAATAATACATATAAAATAGAATTAGCCCAGTATTTGGCACATGGTGAGCATTTAATCTATTATAAGTATTTTAGTATTACAGTAATTTTGGTATACTTAAAAAAACATGCTGGTATATATCCTTATAAACTTTTGTTCATATACAAGCATAATTTTTTTTTTTAATGAACAAAGAACAAACTCATTGTACAAATTTCAAACTAGGGCCTCAAGCATAGGCAAGCACTTCTGCCACTGAGCTACATTCCCAATCCTGCACAACTGTTTTTAACTTGTTTATTATTATACTTCATGAATGTTTTCTATGATTAATATAGATTGAATGTGGTTATAATTTTTGGTAACTGGATGATACTTGTGATTTTCATAATCCCTCATTTTTTTTCACATTTAGAGTGTTTTACAATTTGTAGATATTGTAAGCAACACTTTAGTAAACACCCTTGTATGTATATTTTTGCCTACTTGATCAATGAAGTGAATTAGATTTCATAGCTTAAAAACAGTAAGAAAGCACACTAAACCTAGAAGTTGTACATTCAAATGAAACATTTGTGAGAAGGGATAAATTGCTATCCTTTCTGAACTTCAGCTTTCTAGGGTTTGTTGTTTGTGTTTTTTGTTTCGTTTTTGTTTTTTTAAGACAGGGTCTCACTATGTAGCTCAGGCTGACCTCAACTCACTTTGTAGTCCTGGGCTGGCCTTGAACCTGTGATCCTTCTGCTTCAGGGTCCCCAGTGTTGGAATTAAGGCATCTGCCTTTATGCCCAGCTACTAAGTTTCTCACAATAATTAGGAGAAGGAATAGTCTTCAGGTAGCTCAGCTTTCTAATTTTAAACATACCAGATGAGGGAAGGCAAATTGCCTAGCTATCTTATTGGAAGAGATAAGGTTATTAAGTATGGTATCTCCATTAATTATCCTACCATGTTAGTAAAATCCTTTGAAAAACCCAGACTTTATCATTTTGGTTTTAGGAGTCAAAGGGAATTGTTCACATCTTAGGTTAACACAACATGGGCACAAAGTGCTCACTGAAAGGAGATATGTTGACAGTGGCTAGTCCTGTGCCTGGAAGCTTTTGTGTGATTCTTGGGGTATTGCAAGAAAGGAAGCAGTTATGAGAAAAGAAAATGATAAACACCTGCATGTTGTACAAATCCTGTAATGGAGGAAAACTTTCAAAGTGTTCTAAGTAGTGAAGTTATATTGCTAAGAAGTTATGGGCAATAAAATGGGACAATTTACCAGTCAGATTAAAAAAGAGCCATGTAAGAGAAATCACATGGGTTTCTGCAGGCACAGTTGGAGCTAGTGGAAAAAGAACCAACAACAACCTGTGTGTGTCATTTGGAGAGGGAGGCAATAAATTTTAATCACAATAAGAAGAATCATGGGTGGTAAGGGAGGGGGTGGGGGCAGGGGGGAGAAATGACCCAAGCCTTGTATGCACATATGAATAATAAAACAGTAAAAAAAAAGAATCATGAAAAAATTCAGAAATATAATTTCTGAGAAATATAAGTGGGATGTTAGGCAGAATATTTAAAAGTCTGCCACTAGGAGGAGACAAATGAATTAAAAATTGTTTAACATGCTCTTCTTCCTTGATAGCATGTTATCTAAATTAAGAAAAGCCTGCGTGAAAAATATATTTAGCAGCAGAGCTCTAAGAGTAAAGCGCCTTTAGTATTAACATCTCCTTTTAGAAATGAACATTTTGCACTTACATAATAGTGGAGAATAGTTTGAGAATCGTCGGCTCTTTTTTATCCATATCTTTCTCAGTTTTGGATCTGAAAACTTAAGTGCTAAACCAGTAGTTCTCAAACTTGAGCTGCATCAGAATCACCTGAAGGGCTTCTCGGCATTACCAGTTTTCAAGTCCTATGCCCAGAGTTTTTGATTCAGCAGGTCTGGTATAGGACAGGACAGAAAGGGAAAATGTATTTTTCTTTATTGGGGGTTAAACTTGAAAGTGTCAGTTTCTAACAATTTTCCAGGTAATACTGATGCTGTTCCAAGTTTAGTTTCATGTGACCATCAAAGGGAAGTTTCTCCAGGGAAACCAGAAAGCATTTTAAATGGAAAGAAAGCTTTTCTGAAGTTAGTCAGGTATGAGAAGATGAGACCCTGGATAAGATAGTGACTGAGAAAAAGAAAAGGAGAGGTCAGTGACATTCCCATTGAAAAGTAACAAGACTTGGGTGATTACCTAAATGGAGAGGCCAATAGGAGAAGGAAGTTGAAAAAAAATCTCCAGTTAGGAGCCCAAGAGTCAGTTTAGAAGTATGGTACTGGCAACATGAGGTAGCTTGTCCTAGTTGCTCTTTCCAAACATAAGAAGGGTAATTAACCAGGCCAGTGTTTCTCAGGGGTGGTTCCCAGGTCATTGCAGTCAGCCTTACCTGGGATTGGATCAAAAATGCAAATTTTCAAGCCTTACCCAAGACTACTAAATAAGAAACCCAGAGAACTCAGCAAGTGATTCTGATTTACATTAAAGTTGAAAACTGAGCTAGGGCAGTCAGGTTTTGGTTTATTTTGTTTTGTTTTTCCTTTCAAGAATTTTGAACTGTGTTACATAGAGTCTGTTGATTGTGGGAGAGAAGCTGAAAGTTGGGTCTAGAGAAATTATGAGTAAGCTGGAATTATGAGTAAGTAGAAGCTATGACTAAATGAGGTAGTTGCTGGTAGTCACAGAGGGAGAAAGGATTGGTGACACACACCCTCATGGCTGGGAAGTACTGCATGCCTGTGGCAGCTGGGAGTGACATAACAGCCTGGTCTCTGTGCATGGGATTTGCCCACTTCCACTGTCATTCCCACCAGGTTGCTATTCTGAGGTTTCTGTGATGTTCTTATCTCCTTCATTCTCATATGTATCCTTAAAATAGACCTCACATTATTTGAGGTAGCCCAAGTAAATCTGGGTTCCTAAAACGTGAAAAGATGATACATAGTTCCAAAGTAGATTGAGCAAAAGTTTAAATTGATAAAAAAAAGTCACTTTTTAAAAAAAAGTATAGGTTTTTAAATTCTTTTTTTAAATAAAATTTTCTACCTTAGTTTTAAGTTTTTATAATTCAGTAGTGTTAAATATACTAATGTTGTACAACAAATTTCCAGAACTTTTCATGCAAGAATGCTTTTTGCAAAGAATGACTTTTTTGTTTTATTTTTGAAGTGCTGGGGATCAAACCCAGGACCAGGTGCATGCTTAGCACATACTCTACCACTGAGCTACACCACAGCTCACAACAATGACTTTTAAATAATTGCTTTTTTTTTTTAACTTTTTTTATTGGCCTCCTCCTTCGGGCAGTCACCCTGAAAAAGTACTATTACTTTTCCAACTGGAATGTCTGGATCTCTCCTCTCATTTCCCTTAGTCATTGCCCTAAGCCAGGTCTTAATGTCTTACCCTTAATTTCAATGTCTTCTATGAATAATATCTTTATCTTTTCTTTTATGTTTCATACTGATTTAAAATAACAACAACCATGCAATTCTGATAGAGTTGTAAGCATAAAGATTCCATCAACTAGCCAGAGTGTTGGTGGCTCATGCCTGTAATCCTAGCTACTTGCGAGGCTGAAATCTGGAAGATCACAATTTGAGGCTAGCCCAGGCAAATAGGCCTTGAGATGCCCCCCATCTCCAAAATAACATGAGCAAAATGGATGGGAGGTGTGGCTCAAGCAGTAGTGTG